ACATCTGACACTGTAATGGTTTGTTGGGGAGGGTGTTCTCCTTTTTGGACTACTCTAACTTGTTTCTTGTAATTCGCAATGGTTTGACATAATTTACGAACATTCCTTGGTGTGTAGGCATGAGATGAGTTGACGTATGTGTATAGTTAGTCGGGTGGGAATGTGGTCTCTCTATGGTTTGCATAACTCAAGGGGTTGGCAACGGTGTAGCCATTGTATGAATTCATAGGTGTGTGTGATTGGAGCTAGGTGGTTGTTGTGTAAAGTTACTCGGGAAGGAATGAAACCTTAGGAAGACTATAGTTTGTGGTGTCTTTATTTGCAAAAAGTTATTTATCTTTGAAATAAATCGTTCGAGCTCATACGATAATTGTGAAGCCAATTGTGTATGATTTAGTTATATGAATTATGTGTGAGATTATTTTTGGAAGGAAATCAAATAAGTCAATAGGATGAACATCATCACATTGATGATGTGGTGAGAATTATGATCAAGTAATAAAAATCGGTATGATTTTTTGCCTTATGAAATGAAAATTGTTAAGCGGGGATGAAGTTGCACATTAAATGATTTGGTATAACAAGGTTGCGTGTTATACGCTGAACCAGATCCTGATTTGGAAGCAGACCGAACTTCCAAGGTGTGGTCATGGGAATTACGTGAATGCTTTGATAATTTAGGATTATCGAAGAAATTTATAGTTGGTCAGCTATTTATGGTAATTGTGGAGATGTGTTGTATAAGTGCGCGCAGGCTACAAATTGATGAATAGAGCGTTGAACCGTTCTTGTGCAAATTTGGATCCTCTTACTTGCAAGATTTTGAGTTATACTGTTTACAGTGTGAATATGAAGAAAATCATAACCCTCTTTATCAAGTAGTTTGCGGCTAGGTTACAAGTGAAGGTGGAACAATACCAACTCTATGAGAAACCTACAACTAAGGGGTGCTATTGAGTGGAGACGAAGCTATATTATGAGGGAGTTCGTGCCAAAGTTTCTAAGATCTCTAAAGCGGCCTTGATGTAAGTTGAAGATTTATGTATCGACTTTCTAAATCAGTTCACTTTGTCAATTAAAAGGATTCATAAGAGGGGTTGGCTAAATTGTTTGTTGAGAAGATTGAACCAAGACATTGATGTTTGTGGTTGAGGGTGTTGAATTAAGTTAATCGGTATACTTCCTTGTCTTATATGGTCATGAATATAAAACATTGTTATGTGGAATGAGGTGAGAAAAAAGTAGTTGGTGGGTACGAAAATTGTGCAATTGACTGCAGAGAATATTGATTATAAAAGTTAAAAGTGGCAGTATTGTCAAAATATGTACGCAGACAAGCAAAGAAAGACGATTGCATTCCAAGGGAGATAGGGTGATGTTAAAGATTTCTCCTCGGAAGGAGTGGTACGTTTTGGTAAGAAAGAAAATTTGAGTCCCAGATATATTGGAACATTTGCAATAACAGAGGGGAGTTGAGGATGTGGCAATAACAGAGGCGAGTTGAGGAAGTGGCTTATAAGTTTAACTTACCAAAGGTCTCTAGAGTGTCTAGAATGCCTTTCATGTGTCCAATTCGAGGAAGTGCTTAGCAGATGTGAGTATGTTGGTATCATTGTAGGATGTGCAAGTAAAGGAGGAGTTGAATTTTTGTCCAAGAGCCGGAAGAAGTTGTGGATCGTAAATACAAAAATTTGAGGATCAAAAAAATCATGTTAGTGAAAATGCATTGGAATCTTCCTAAAGTGCGAGATGCAACGTGGGAGTCCGAGATGGAGATGAAGGCCGAATACTCTCTTTTATTTACTTAAATGAAATTCGAGGACATAATTCTTTTAAGGGGAGAGAGTTGTAATGACTCAATATTTTTGAGTATTTAATGAAAATAAAGTATGCAGTTGTAAAGAGGTTCTATCTGTAGAGGTTAATCATGTAAATTATGGCTAAAAGGGACAGGGTATCTACTCCTTCTCTTATTCCAATCTTGAAGACTAAGGTGAGTGTATGTGTTCTTCATTTTGGGAGACAATTGGGTGTAAAGAGAAACCATTGAAGATTAAGAAGAGATGTGTGATAACCAGTTATTCGGTTATAAAGCTCAGGGTTGTTTTTGAATAATGGTAGTAAGTTGAGGGGCTTGATTTGTTGATATGCTTGAATGTTTTAAAAAGCAATCCCACCGCCTCTTATTGTTTAAAAATAAATATATGATATGAGATATTTACTTTATCTCAATGGTTTTGGAAGTAAAAGAAAAGTAAGTTGGTAAAAAAGAAAAGAGAGCTTTCTATATGTGTTTTTGGAGACTGGAAGAAAGAGAACTGAAGGGAGATTAGAAAATTTGATTTTCTGAATATTATTTGGATACATTGTTGTTGTTTATCTCCATATCTTCATCTCTGTGTAAATTTATAAGGTGAGTTTATTTTATAAACTATCCTTATTTGGTATTGAAATTAGAACCTTGTGGTTATGTATATGGGCATGATTATAAAACTGTTTTGATGCTTTAATTAGCATAATTGTGGGATTTTGATATGTTTATATCATGTGTTTGGAATAAGGGTGGCATATCAAGGAGATGTGTATTTTGGTTATAAATATGGCATATCAAGGAGAGGTGTATACCAGGATAAGGGTGGCATAATCAATGGAATGTAAAATCTAGGTTTTTGATCAAACTATTAACTAATGTCGCATCCTTATGACGCGAGGACTTGGAGTTTTCGCATTTGTGTGATGTGATGACTTAAAGTTATCGCATCCTATTGATGCGATGAATAGTTGTTATCGCATCCTTGTGATGCGAGGAGTTATGTGTGTCGCACCAGTGTGATGCGGCAAGTTGATTTATCGCATCCTATTAATGTGATAAGTTGGTTTATCGCACGCATGTGATGCGATGAGATGGGGTCCTCACACCAGTTTGTTGCTAGGAAATGGGGTTGTCTTACCCATGTGATGCAAGAAAATTATGTTTTTATTTATATAATGCGATGAGTTTTTATCATAATGCGTTAAATGAGTTATTTGGCTATTTGATGTGATAAGTGGATTATGTCTCATCATTTTGATGAGACAAAAGAGGTTTGTGTTATTAAATTGTTGTTTATTTGTTATTAATATAAATATGAGTTTATAATTGTGCTTTGGTGATTATTCACCCTGCAATAGCCAACCAAGGGATTTCTCACTAGATCTCAAGGTCTAATCTTCATTTTTTGTGTTTTCAAAATGTGTATTACAGGTTGGGCATAACTAGAGGATAAGGGGAAAAGCAAACTGTGAAGAATTTTATATGCTTACATGGATGTGGAGGATAACATATTATCTGTTATATTTGGAATACTTGTTATATATACAAGTTTTGTATCGGGATTTTGTGGAAAAATTTGGTAGCTACTTTGTAATGTAGCTTTTGTAATTAGTGGGACCAGTTGTGTAAATTATATTTCTTGATATATAGAAATATATGTTTATGTACAAATATGATCATAGGGTGTTACAAGATGGGTTTTGGATCTCCATTTTCAAGTAAGATCATCACCCCTTCTATATTCTTTCCCTTGTTTATAATGATAATTTCATGGTTGGAAACTATTTTATATTGAGTTTACATCTATTTAGTGTTTTAGTCGGTTTCATGATGGAGTGGGGAGAATTGAAACAAGATTCTAGAATTTTGGGTTTATCCTTATAAATTTTGAATTGATGGATTGAATCCTATGGATTAGATTGGATCAGATGTTGGTTGAGGATGTTTTTATAATGTTTTAGGGTTAGTTAAAGCCCTTAAAACATCATGAATATGATTTGATATTGGTATTGGGTTTTATTTCTCGAATAGAAATATGCAGGTGAAATAGGGACGAAAGCAACTTTCATGCGGGTTTGGTCCCATGAAAATCACTTTAGCGGTTGGTTCCCAATTTTCATTTTTTTGTAAGAGTAGTTTGGGTCCTCATCTGAGGGGTTTATTAGTGGTTCAATTGGAGGTTCTTTGGGGGTTTTAACATGTCTTTTGGTAATCCAAATTGAGGTGTTCGGTTGATGACTTCTTAGACTAAGAGGGTGTGAATAAGCTTGGACTTCAGGTGAGTTTCCTCTTGTTATCTTTGATAAATGTATGCTCATGAGTGTGAGTTCTTGGTGTGAGTGTGTACAATAGTATTTTGAACTATGGGAGGTGTGTGCCCGAATGAAGTACACGAATTCGTTTCATGTAGCTCATGTTAAGGGAAGATGTGAGCCTAAATGATTAGTCAAAGGTGTGCGCGACTATAAGTGTGTTCAACTGTTGCAATATTTATTGGTGTTTTATGTTTTAAGTGTGTACATTGTTGTTTCCAGTTATGATTTATAATGAAATGTTTCATCGTATATTCATGTGTTAAAAGAAATTCACTAGACCTTTGGTCTAACCCTCGCTTTTATAATACTGAAACCTTTTCAGGAAGGTACCATGAAGGGAGTACTAGCTAGGGTTGAAGGGGAAGGTGTGATTCTCATGGATTGAAAAGTGTGAGAGTGATCTCCTTGTATGATAGTCGTTAGACTTGATTAGAATTTTGTAAAGAATCTTAGCCATAGTGTTGTTATTATTCCGCTGTAACTCAAGAAGTAGAGTTGATATTGTTGTCCTTTATCCAACATTCGTACTTGTCGATTGTCAATTGTTATGTTATAGATATTTTGGATTTATGGATGTTACATGTTGGTTTAAAGGATGAGGAAATGTTTGTTCAAAAAGTCGGTCATGGGTTTTGGTTCGGGCCTTTTCATGCGCCTTGCCATCGGGTGAGTCTTAGATATCCCATTCACATTGGATTTCTTGAGGGTTAGGTGCCATGTAAGATCGATTTGGAGATGCCGATACTCAACCTTTTGCTAAAAAATTGACCTTATATTTCTATATTTATTAAATGCAAAATCATCAAAAACATTAATAAATATTTTTGTAACAAATATTATGACCAACAAAGGAAAAAATAATACCAAACAATAAATAAACCAACCAAAGTATACAAACACCAAACAAACAAATAATTTCTTTTTAAACAATTCAATGAATCTAGGTCTCATTTTGTTTTAATTCAACCAAAAGGATCCAAATCCTTGTTATAATTTTCTGCTTCTTCTTCATCACCACCCAAGAAACCCTGGTTCAACAACATGCTTATGGGATCAACCTCTATCTCTCCTAAACTTGAAAAGAAATCTTGATCCACTCCGCTGCCGTGTTCCGGCAACTCCGGCCGGTAGCTCTGTGGGAAACTTCCCAACCCTAATTTTTCTGTTTCCAATAATATTGCTTGTGATGATTCATCTTTCACGTGAGACCCTGCAGCTACATCTTCTGTGGTGGTGTGTTTTTCCGATGATGGTTGTTCGGCGGTGGTCTTTGGTGGTTGTGGGGTTCTAGTGGAGCCGGCAAGAGCGTTTCTTTGAGTAGGCCATGGGTGGTTATGTTCAGAAGTGTAGGTAATGACCAACATGTTAGGATCTGTGCGACTTCTTTCCACTTGTTTTCTTGCTGAACAACCCTTTGAGCTACTGCATCTGTAGTACCCTCTGAATATATGTATAATAATTCTTTAATCAAGAGAAAATTAATATTAATTACCAAGTTCAATAATTTAGAATTAATATAACAAGATCAGCTCTACATGACTGCAAAAGAAATGTCTTAATAAATTGTCTTACATATCTTAAGTTAATAGAACTATTTAAATAACCGTGTGATATGTAAAAAAAACATTAATTATATGACAATATTTGGATGTCTTAACAACGTTTTTTTTATATTAAAATGTTTTATCAGCTTTTATACAACACTTTTGTATGAATAGATTTTTAAATGACAATTATGAGAAGTGTCATATGAACATATTTTTATAGAATATTTTTTCAAACAAAATACATTTTATACTGGTTTTGATATATTGTTATCGAAAAAATACAAAACTTAACCTTTTTTATATAATAAATTTTAATAATCATTGTATCAGTCATATGTCCATAATTATTAAAACTTTGTCTTTCACCAATAATTGTGATGGTAAATATGAAAATCGAATGTAAGGATATTTAAACCAACATTAAGTCAACTCTTTTGACTTATTAAATAAAGGGATATGGTGGTAATTCATATAGTTGTAATAATAGTAATTAAAAAATAAAATTTATAAAATTCTAACATTTTTTTGCAAAACAAACGATAACCCTCATTTAACGAAATTTTTTAACGAATGTTAAAGACAGAGATCAAATCTATACGTTTTTACAAACTACTATAATAATCTGATAATTTCAAAATTGCAAGAAAGAAATTTGATATTTTCAACAAACCACAAAAATCAAATTTATAGTTTACTCTTAATTATCTAATCATATAAGATATTATTTTCACCAAATATAATAAAATAAATTAATATAAATAATAAAAAAAAATTGTCAACCCCTTTATTTCATCACCATTTTGCCTTAATATAAACAATTTGATTAAAATCAAGCTAAAATGTAACTGAAATGATTGTAGCTTTAAAATAATATAAGTCCGGTGATTATTTGACCTGTTCACTGAAAAATGGATGCATTAGAGAACTCTACCTTGGATAAGGAGATCCTTTAATAGGTTTCTGACCATACTTCCTCCAGGCCCAGAGATCCGATGGAACCACTTCGCCCGTGGGTCTACTATTTGCCGGTGCTGGTGCCGGTATGCACACCACTTTCTTAGCCTGGCTCTTCCTGATCATCATTTAACCATTGCTAGGTTAACATTGTTAATTGCTCTTTTTAACATCATAATCTTCACTACAACACAAATGGGTTTATAGGATGACAAAAATATCTAAATGACCCAACAATCGTACGTCTTATGTAAAAACGTTATAATAAGTTTTTACTTTTTAGAAAATATTTTTTTGGTATTTTAGAAGTTTTCAGAAAAAGTTAAAATAAAGTGTCGTATTACCTACTTTGTAGAACATTTTTTAGAAGTGTCCTATGAGGAGATTTATTTATAGAACAATAATTTTCTAACACTTTTTTTAAATAATGTTATACAAAAATAATTAATATGAAGCTTTATTTCAATATGTCTTAACAAACTTATTGACACGCTTAAAAATATCATATAAACATATTACAATGCTTTTATATATGACTTATAATTGTTTGATCTTATAAACTTAAGTTTATAAATCAATCGAGTATGGGACAATTAGACATTTTTATGTCCTATAAACTCGATTTTGTTGAATTAGTTTATACTTGCTTATTAGAAATAATTTTAATGAACATGATGACTAAATTTGATACACTTGTTTTTTCCCACCCATATGTTTGTTCCGTACCACTACTTTGATAAATAAAAACTTAAGATTACACATTCAAAACAACGTAACTGTTGTTCTTCGAGGCAATAGAACTAACGTGACATATTACATAACCGGATTGAATTGTTTTGAACGCTAAAAAAACTTGGTTTTAGAATGTATT